TTATGGTAAAAAAAACCTTTTTCTATGAGGGGTATTCTTGTTTGGTTTGGTAGGTAAAAAGTTTGAAGACTTTGTTCTTCAATTGGGGAAATATCGTAATCATGCTTAGGTATTTACTACTCCCTTCGTTTCAATTTCTTTGACACACTTTTCTGGACGTTTTAAAATGAATGTCACACTTCTTTATTTCATTATTTCGTAAACAAATCTATATCAATACAGTACAAAACAGTGTCAAACAAAGTCAAACAATGGAAATAGTGTTAAGACAATGTACTCTATAATAAAATTTATCTCCCAATAATTTTTTTTCTTAATTTTTGTGAAGTCAATGTGTGTCAAACAAATTGAAAGGGAGGGAATCTATTTCTACGTGTTCTAAACCTCAACATACGGCCTAACGTTACTGTACGAACTTCACTGAAATTAGTAGAATTTAGGGCGTTTTATTCAGATTTGCTCCATCACAATAGAACTATTATTATGCTAGATTAGACTTGAATAATAATAAAATACCCTAATTATTATTATGCTAGATTAGACTTGAATAATAATAAAATACCCTTATTAGTACCATATATATACCAAATCAGGGGTGTTCCCGATTTGGATTGTGGAGAATTTTAATGGAGTTTAGAAACCCGTCTGAATTTAGGTGTCTCCGATTTGGATTTCTGTGGAATCCATGAAAATAAGGGTGTCCTCAAACATTACATGGATTTCTATTGCTACTTATTTTGATGGATTTTAATGGATTTTGATGGATTTCTATATACAAAAACATTCCACCACAAATCTTGTAGAATCTCTCGGATTTCAAAATTCATTGATCTTTTAAAATCCATTCAACTCCTAGTTGTGGACACCCCAAAAGTTTAAACCAAATTAGTTTCAATAATACAAAACGTCAAAATGTAATGTTATGGGGAAACATAACGTCATAAGTTTCAAGAATTTATTTGACTGCCTTCCCGATCGAATTTTGAGCTGATATTTGGTATGGATAAACTAGACTTAATGAAGAACATGCTCAAAAAATTTCATCAAAACATTCCATCGGGAAGGACCTTTGATGGCTTTGTCCGTACGGAGCTTCCTGTACATCCATATGTAGAGGAACAGCCCTCTACCTCTGAAAATGCCAAGATTATAGAGACTTGACCAAATTAATATAGCTAGCTGCAAGAGTGTTCTAAAAGGCATAAGGCGTGCCGAAGCAGCACGACTGAGCCCGAAGCCTTTGAAGCCTAGACGAGTTTAGGCGAGAACTAGGCGTGAAAAGGCGTTTTGATTTTTTACTCATTATTTTAATATTTCTACAACAATTGCTAAGTATGCAAGTGTAATATTAGATAATACTTCGTATCACAGTATCATACTATTTTATTTTTCAATAAAATAAATTTCTCAAAACCATAAATGATAAATGGTTTACTATCCAAAACTGCAAGTACTAAACGATCCGTGATTTCAATTTGAGACCCCTATTTTAATTTCAAATTATTTGAGACCCCTATTTTAATTTCAAATTTCGGTCCGTGATTACATTCTTGACTAAAAAAGTTAATCACGGATTTTTAACACTACGATCCGTGACTAAAAAAGTTATTTATGGATTTTTAATACTACGGTCCGTGACTAAGTCCGTGACTACGGACCTGTTTTTCGTAGTGGTTTATATTTATGAGTAATTTAGTTTTTAAAATCACACATTTCGATGTAAAGAATATAAATTTAGAGTGATTTTTCATGGTGGTTTAAGACATGTTTTAGAAAATTACCTGAAAATTTTAAAAAGTATTGGACCTAAGAAGTAAAAACTCTCAATTGTTGAATCTTCATTTGTTTACTTTATACTACGTATGTAATATTGGTTTCTAATAAAAAATCATAAAAAAATTATTTATTTTGATACAAAGTATTTTTTTTTTATATAAAAATAGGATAATAAATAAAAATGTAAGCAAGGATATTTGAAAACATGACCGAAGAAAGACATTATTATCACAAATTAATTATAATTAATTAGGAAAAATAATCATGCATCGAATCATATCATTCTAACTTATTCCTAAATAATTTCATGGTTCAGTAATTCTACAAGCTAAAAAAATCAAAATCATACGTACGTGTTCTCACTTTTCAGAGGTGTTCATTTGAATCATTTCAATTGGTTTTAGAAGATACTCCGTAAATGTATATATGTATATGTGTGTGAGCGTGCGTGAGAGAGATCTTACGGTTGGAAATATACTATTATTGCAGAAAAATTAAAGAAATTGTCCTAAATTGAAGTAAACATGTTTGTGAATTTAATTACTGTCAAGTTTTTGCATTATCAAGATTTAATTACCAGACTTTAAGCATGGATTCATTTTCTAACTTTGACAGTAATTACTCTTATTTAAAAAAAATATAACAATCATAAAATGGATCAAATCAACTTTATACGCAATGCATCATAATTTATATTACCTCTGTCCTATTGGACATTTTTAACTTAAATATGTTTCGACACTAGATGACATTAAAAATGGCGGTATGACTTTAATATTTTTGGTAATACTTAAATATATCTATTTATGAGAAAACACAATACCCTAAATTTAAAAAAATCGCCTCTTTTTACTCCTATTCGAACAATTTCCTAAAATAATAGAACGGGAAACCTTTAGTCTGAATACCAAGTACTAATACCGTTGCACTAAGATTAACTCATCTTTTCTTTTCGGTCCATTCCACAAAGATGGTCTCATATGAAATTTGGTAAAGTTGTGTGGTTCTAAATTATTCATATTTTGTTTTTTACTTTATTAATTTAATATCGACCACATAAACTCACTTTTCTTAATAATTGCACTACATTCTCATGTTCCAATATCAGTACAACAAAATTAAATTCAGAAAATTAGAGTTAAGTTAGTATAAAAATTTTAGAGCATCTCCAATGATTCATTTGGAGGACTTGCTTGAAATTTTAAAGCTAATAGCTTGCCATTGTAGTATATATTGCTATTCATTTTACTTGAGAAGATAATTAGTCAAAATGAACTGCTAGTATGAGTATTGAGAATTATTAAATATAACATTATTAATAATAAATAAAGAGGACGAAGTTATAGCTAACCATGAAATATATTTTAGTTTCGCAACAAACGGTTATGTGTGGTTAGTCAATTTATAAGAGCAATTAGCTAACCGACGAAGATACTCTTAGAAGGCTTAGAAGGGGATTGGGATTATATATTATTACTACCTCCGTAACATAAAGATCTTCTCATTTCCTTTTTTTAACCGTAACTAAATAATCTTCCCATTTTTAAATCTTCTCATCATACCCTCAATAATTTTAAAAATAATACACTATTACACCTACTTTTTTTATTTATCCTTCATTCCACCACACTATTTATTATCTTTTCATCATACCCTCAACCAGAGGAGGATCTATGTTGGGGCTATGGTGGGCTGAAGCCCGGGGAAAAGTAAAAAGAAAAATTATTATTATTAAGGTATTATTTTGACAAAATTCCATTCAGCACACCCCAAATTTTTCTATAGCCCAATCCAATTCTTCAGCCCAGCACATAAGACAAAATATTACCATCTAAAAATCTAATATAAATGTTATACACATCCAACTTAACAAGTGGCACCTTAGTATATACGTATAAGGGCCATAAAGCCCATAAGATTCAATTAAATAAGATTCAATGTAATAAATACAATTAAATATGATTCAATTAAGAGCTTGATTAGCTCACATCAACTTGTACAGTGTTTGTGGATCTTCAAGATCATTAATTTCCCAAAAGTGAGTTCTTGGACAGAAGTTCGTAGTGTATATAGACATTTTCCATGTTTTGAATTTGTGTTCAATTTACTTTTGATGCACAAAGTTATGGAATAACCAATATTCTCTCTCAAGGCCAGGCCTTCAAAAGAACTTATTGGATATCTTGGTAGCCATGAGACATCTTTCTACTACACAACTCATTCTTAAGGAGTTGACATAAAATGGATGGGAAGGTTTTCTTGAAGAAGTAAATGAGTTTTGCTCAAAAAAATAAATTTATGCACCAGACTTGAATTCTAATTTTTAAATATATGGTTGGTTGTTGCTGAAAATAAACTACAATAGAACATCATTATCACTTCGATGTTTCAAACTTTCAATGAGGTAATATTCTTTTTTGATGGAGTTACGGACCCAGTTTAATGATAAATAAGTGGAACTTCTTTCTTTGAGTGCTTCATTGGATCCAAAAAATTCATATGAGTCGTTCCGTGCTGATGCTATTTGTACTCTTGCAAGAAAGTTCTATCCCAAAGATTTTATTAGTCAAGATATTCGTGCTTTGAAATTCGAGCTGCAACCTTATGTTCATGATGTGATTCATGATACAAAATTTCAAGTATCTACACTTTTTGAATTATGTGAGGAGTTGACTAGAACTAAGAGCAAAAGATCCAATTCATATGTTATGATGAGTAGATTGATTCGCTTTGTATTGATTTTATTGTTTCTACTGCAACCGTAGAATGATCATTTTCTGTCGTGAAACTTCTAAAGACAACACTCTTCAACAAAATGGATGATGACTTTCTTGTTGATTCATGACCCTTTATATTGAAAAGAAATTACTCTCATTATAGATGTAGACTATTGTTGACGACTTTTTTGTTTTAAAGCCTTGTTGAGAACAAATTTAGGGATAACTTTTATATTTGATTTTTTGCTTATTTTGAAAAAAATTCAATATATTATCAATTAAGTTTTTGAGCCCCTCCCAATTTGAAATCCTGGATCTGCCTTGCTCGCAACAATTTATATCTCCTATCACTGTTCATAATTTCATCTAATTTTAATTTGGGAAGATTCCTTAGGGAGGTAGTACTTGAAAATGGGACGCTCTTATCCAATATAAATAGGTAGATTCTATGGTACCCATTGGGTACCGGAGTTGTCACCATATAAATATCCATCAGAATTCACAAATAGGACCATAGTCTTCCAGTTGCTGTATAAATTGGACAATTAAACCTTGTTTTCTCTTCACACTCAATACACAAATTCTCTCACACAGAAAAAATCAAGACCCAAATGAAAATATCAAATAAGCCAACCATCCTCCACCTCCTCCTCCTTTTATATGCTCTGTCTTCAGCTCCACCGGTCATCGGCGTGGCGTCGGGGAAGTCGCCGGTGTTTCGGGAATACATAGGCGCAGAGTTCAGAAACGTCAAGTTCTCCGACGTGCCCATAAACCCAAACGTTGACCACTTCCATTTCATTTTGTCCTTCGCCATTGACTACAAAACCTCATCTTCCTCTGCCCCTCGTCCTGCCAATGGCAAATTCAACATTTTCTGGGACTCCCATAACCTCTCCCCTTCTCATGTCTCCGCCATCAAGTCTAAGCATTCTAATGTTAAGGTTGCTCCTAAACACTTCTTTTATTCTTTTTAATTGTATTAATATCCATATATCGGTTATCTTAGATTTGGGTGTGCTATAGTTTCATTATCATAAGTCAAGGTTTTTACGTTTCACTGTTTCAGTAGACGCCTTTAAATTCAAAATCTCATCCAAATGACATGATTGAACATTTAGATATTTTAATGGCATCGAGGGACCCAAAAAACTTTGACTTTTCATCTTTTATTTATAATTTCTCTCTTTAATTAAGACTCATATTATGATGGGTAAATAAATGGAGAAATGCTAACTTGTTCACTACAAACCACGACGTTAATGTTATAAATAATCAGATTTAATTTCACCAATTTAAATATTTGAAAGAATTCATATCTCATCACCCATTTGTACTTTGTAGTACTAGTATATACTGCGTACTACGTAGTACTTCGTATATTTGTAGTGCCTATTTTGTACTCCGTACGTAGTATTATGCGTAGTAATTTCATACTTTCAGTGGTTTACCTTGAGTACGCCACTACCTCTTTTATTATTTAAAAGTTGCTAAATTCAAATAAGGTAGATTCTATGGTACCCATAAGGTACCATACATTTGTCCACATGGATCAATGAGAATGTAGCAGTTGAATTATTTAAATCTAAATTAAAAATGATAAAGTGATGTGGTCTAATCAAATAAATTAAACCTTACACTTGCTTGCAATTAAAAGAATGCAGTAATTAGAAATGGTAAATATTAAATGCATGAATTAGAGTATTTTAGGCGTAGTATTTGGCATTTAAGAATGAAAAAAGCTCATTTCAAGACAAGAAAAACTAATAGCAGTACTTAAGAAAATATGTGCTATGAATAAGGGCGGATCTAGAAATCCAAGCTAAGAGCATCTCCAATGGTAAAATGTGCACGGTGCACACGTGGCATGAGAAATGACCACATAAATATTAGTAAATAAATTCTTTCTCTCCTTATTTGAATGATTTTATACATTTTTGGTAAGTTTTTCTCCACAATGTCAAGGAGACCGTCTAGATGTTGACATTGTTGTTGACATTGCAGAGAAAAACTTACCAAAATTGTATAAAATCATTCAAATAAGGAGATAAATAATTTATATGCTAATATTTATGTGGCTATCACTCATGCCACATGTGCACCGTGCACATTATAGTATTGGAGATGCTCTAAGTTAGATTGAAACGAAAAGTGATTATCCTATACTAACATTAATAATGTAAGCTACATATAAAAATGAAAAAAGGAATTACAAAAAAAAAAGTTGAACAAAATTAAGTTGTTATAAGCTTAAACCCACTATAATCCTAAAATAGATCCCTTCCCCTGGTTATAACCTCCCCTGGTTATAAATGTTTTATACGTAGTACTTCCTCCGTTCTTAAATAAATGTAACGGTCAACATTTCACACTTGTCGAGACACAACTTTGACCATTAATATATATGATTTTGTATTAGTAAAAAATTAAAAAAAATTAGATTATTAAATTTACAATGAGACAAGGTTAACAATATTTTTTCAAAAAAAATATTATTATATTAATAAATAAAATGTAGTCAAAGTAATAGTGCAAAAGTCAAAGTGTTGCATCTATTTAAGAACGGAGGTAGTACTTCGTATATAAATAAAAGAACTTTTTGGGAAAAAGTGATTAGTAGTAAAAGTTGGTAGTGTTTGGTAAAATAAGTGCTTTTTGTGTTATAGAAAAAGTAAAAAGTAGATTCTACACGAAAATCAAAAAAATAAAAGTTGATAGTGTTTGGTAAAATAAGTGTTTTTTTCTTAGAAAAAAGCTACAATCACTTTAATTAAGGAGTTGCAAACAGAGCCTTAATCTCTATCTACCTATCAATATAAACCAGTAGTATTAGTTTGGGTTTTTAAGTCAAAGTTTATTTTCTTCCAAAAAAAAGTCAAAGTTTATTACTACTAGTCTACTACGCAACGTTTTTACTCTTAAAATATTTTTATGATAGTCAGTATATTTTTGTCGAACACTCTTACTAAAATTCAAACAATTGACTTGGAACTTGGAAGGAGGTAGGAAGTATTGAACATCCTAAATAAGATTTCCTGTTTATTTTCTAAATCGGATTAATTCCTATCAAATTTGGCATAATTAAACTTTAAATGTGATAATTTCTGCATGTTTTTTCAAACTTAGCGGAAACTATTCCAATTTAATGAATATAAAGGGAAAAGGTGCAAATAGGCCCATGTACTAACAAAAAAAGGTCAAATAAGTCCTTATTTAGGAGGCTCTGTCCGGCTGTTGCCATTTGGAGTGGTTCCCGGTGGAATTTTTTGATGAAAATTTTTTAGCATCTTATTCATGAAGTCTAGTTTACTCATACCAAATTTCAGCTAAAAATTCAATCGGGAAGACATTCAAATGAATTCTTGAAAATAACTGCGCAGTTAGAAGCTCAGTTATTTTCAAGAATTCATTTGAATGTCTTCCTGATTGAAGTTTTAGCTGAAATTTGGTATGAGTAAACTAGACTTGATGAATAAGATGCTCAAAAAATTTCATCAAAAAATTCTACCGGAAACCACCTCAAATGACGACGGCCGGACAGAACCTCCTAAAATAGGAATATCCTAGTTTAGAATTTCCAAAGACGCTTTTTACTTTTATTCGACAATTTCTAATAATCATTCATTCTCTTTTGTTATAAAGGTAGCCGTCAGCTTAGGCGGCGACACCGTAAATAAACTCCCCGTCCTTTTTGCACCGTCTTCCGTCGATTCTTGGGTTTCAAACGCCGTGTCTTCCCTGACCCGGATCATCGGAGACTACAACCTCGACGGAATCGACATAGACTACGAGCACTTCCAACCCGACTCCGACCCAGACACGTTCGTGGAGTGCATCGGACGGCTGATCACCGCCCTGAAGAAAAACAGAGTGATTTCATTCGCCTCCATAGCGCCGTTCGACGACGCCGCCGTCCAGAGACATTACACCGCCCTGTGGAAGCGGTACGGCGGCGTGATAGACTACGTCAACTTCCAGTTCTACGCATATGATAACGGGACCACCGTGAAGCAGTTCATAAGCCATTTCAACAAGCAGAGGGATGAGAACTACGGTGGGGGGAGAGTGCTGACGAGCTTCGTCAGCGGCGGGGGCGGCGGGTTGTCGCCGGAAAAGGGGTTCTTTAAGGCTTGCGGCGAGCTGAAGAGGGAGGGGAAGCTGGATGGGATATTTGTGTGGTCTGCTGATGATTCGAAATCGAATGGGTTCAAGTATGAGAAGAGGGCGCAGGCTCTGCTCGCCGACCAAAAATAAGTTGATTTTTTTTTATACAACGGAAAGAAAACCAAAAATAAATAAGTTGATGATACTCTCTATTTTCATCACAATTATTAATTACTCTGATGAATAAACAAAGTCATAGCTGGCTTTATTTCTTCTTTTTGTGTTCTCTCCAATAATTGTTAGTCTTGTGAAATAAAAGAACTACTCCACAAAACTTTATCAACTGTTGATATATGGTCCCAACAATGTTTACCAGTTCTAATACTCCTTCAATTCAAATTATCTTTCAAAGTGAGTCATGCAAAAGATGAGAAAACAATAAGGAAATTTGAGTTTGCGCCCTATTTTATTGTCTAAAAAACTTTGTTTTTGCACTTTAACCTCATGTGAAAAGACAAAAATGTCCTCGATTAGAAATATGTTGAAGGCTAACAAAAGTGTTAATGGAGGAGCATTTCTGTCTTTCCATATGGGGTTAGGGTGCAAAAACAAAGATTTTAAAAAATGGGGTGTAAAGTCCAATTTGGACATTAAAGTAGGGTGCAAAATCAAATTACCCCAAACAAGAATTATGTGATCGAGAGAGTTGTGGAGAGAAGAGATATATGAGTAAATGTGTTTTAAACTAAAAATTCTCCCTAAAATGGAAATAGAAAACTATTTTGGAAGGGAGGTATTACTGCTTAAATACTTTCTTCTTTTATTTGCTAATGATTTTTTTTCCTGTAAATACTTCCTATATAGTTAAAGTTAATTACTTTTATCTCATTTACACATACATTAATCATACTTCCTGTAACTATTTTGGCTATGTTTTATAAGAAGAAAGAATGATCATGATCAAAAAGAAGGAAGAATGATCAAAATGATGATTGTGGTGGCAGATTATGTGATGATTTGAATGGCTTGCCATTTGCCACAAGATAGTGTTGGAGAAAATCTTGACAAAAAGCAAATGATACCATGAAAAATACTCTAGGTACCCAATTTTGGGTACCCCATTTGTACCCTTTTTACTTGTGTGGTTCTAAATCTATTTCACATCTTTCACTTTGTTCACTTTTGGTGCTTGACTAATGTCTATTAATCAATTGTTGTCTTTTTCCAATGATTTTAACCACCGAAAACATTGACGGAATGACCATATATGGGCGAAAACACTATCGTCAAGTATCAAAAGTGGTCAAAATTAAAGATGTCGACGAATTGTATAATTGGTGTGATATTTGTGGGATCAAAAGTGAAAATAATTCTACACAATTTTTCTTCGAGATCTACCTTTTATTTTTCCACTTAGTGTGATTCATATTTGTTGTCCAACAAAGTTCATCATGTTTAATATGTTACTTAAAAGTACACTATACTTACATACAGGGACGGAGCCAGGATATGAGCGAGGGGGGGGGGGGGCGAGGTGAAATGAAAAAATACAAAAGCAATAAACATTAAATAAGGTAGTAGTATTCATTTAAAACATTCAAAAACACATAACTAAACGTCTTGAGAGTTAAAATTTAGAACGTCGCTCCTGCATGTCACGGAAATCATCTATAAGAGAGTCCACACTAAATTTTTTTGCAATTTGCTTCTCAATGTACACCAACAAACAATCGGTAAGATATTCATCTTCCATCTTGTTTCGAAGGGTAGTCTTCATGATGCTCATAGCAGAAAAAGATCGCTCCGTAGTAGCTGTAGATACTGGAAGTGTAATAATGAGAGTTACGACTCTGTATACAAGCGGGTAGATGTCTGATTTTCTAGTTGTTATCAACCACTGACTTAGATCAGAAATAGAGTCCAATGCACCGAATTCAGGAAGTTGGCAAACATGCTCAAAATGCTGAAACTGAACTCTCAATTGGAACATCTCATATTCTTCAAAATCTTGTGGGTAAAACTTCTCCACCAATTTGCAGATGTCATCAATTCTGAATGATATGCGCATCTCTTTTGGATCAAGTGTCGTGCTAAGCGTTAATAACTCAATTGCTTTCTCATTAAACTTGCTCTCCAATTCAGAGAGTTGGGTATCAATCACCTCATGAAAAATGTTGAATTTGTAATGCTCTCCAATTGTCAACTTATCTTTTTGATGTCGGGCTCTCCCCTTTCTTGCGATATGCAAAGCATTAAAATCCAACACAGGTATATTGACAGATTCGCAGAAAGCCTTCACATTTGCAATTAATTCATCCCATCCATCGTCTCGTAACTTTTGAATGAGAATTTTAGTTGACGACACAAGATGAATTGCATTTAGGATATCTTGAGACTGAAGTTGCAAAGCTTGACAAAGCATATTAGAAATCTCTAAAACGTTTCGCATGAGATGCAAAATGAAGACAAATTCAAACGAAGTTAGCACCTCATAAGCAGCATCAGCATCTCCACGTTGAGCATGTGTAGTCCCATCCTCAATAACATTTATCAGAACTTCACATGTTGCACTAAACATCTTCATCAAGCTCGAGATAGATCTGAAATGAGAACTCCAACGAGTGTCCCCTGCTCGTTGTAAATAAATACTATTTCTTTATTAAGTAAGTCATTAAATTTCGAATTAATAACTTAAGTGATAACAAACATTTCAGTTTTATATTACTTTTCAAATAACTAATCTAATCAATTTACCTAAATAATGAAATTTCTTTGATTTTAAAATAATTAGTAAAGTTATGGCTACTAAATAGCGTGAACACCGTCAATTTGACATATATAGCAGAACGATTCTCTGTATCTCTAATCAGTAATCGGTTTACTGTGATAATCTTAAATAACTAATTAATCTAATATAATCGATTAGTAAAGTTATGGCTACTAGAATCAAATAACTAAGCTTAAAAAGTGAAATCTCTTATGGCACAATAAGCTTAAATAACTAATCTAATCAATTTACCTTAATAGATGAAAACCGTCAAAATAATGTTAGAATGCTGAAGAAGACCTGCGGCAATCCCGCCAATCCGAAACCGGCCAATCCCTTGCTGGTTAGTAGATGGAAATGCTCCACATATTCTTCATCTCACTTGAGCAGCTAATTTGACTCCTCTTAATCTCCTTATTGTTGGGCACTTGGGCGGCAGAGATTTGGAGGAATCGAGGAAGACAGGGGAGTGACGAGTTGAGGACGGAAATTATGCTCCAAGCCTCCAAACCTATTTTTTAATTCTTGGACTTATCACTTGTGGACAATTGGACAGGGCTTTTAATTGAAATTAGGCCCAGCCTGCCAGCCGTATCAGGGTATCACGTGGGGTTGAAGCTTGGCTGCAGTTTGCTTCATGTGGTCTAGGATAATAGTAAAAAATAGAATGTTGGGGGGCCAAATTTTTTATTTAATACTACTATTTAAAAAAAAAATTGGGTGGGGGGGGGCAATTGCCCCCTCAAAGCATGCTGTAGCTCCGTCCCTGCTTACATATTGGCCCACACAATTTACATTTTTGTATAATGCGACCTACACATTTGGCCATACATTTTATATTTTGTATAAAGTCATTTACACACTAACCACAATGTCATATTGTCATTGTCGTGGACTCGTGGTAATGGGGAACATAAGGTCAAATAATGCCGCAAAACTATACTATTTCCTTCGCAAAAATAACATCTTGCCTACATCCATCCGACCCCATGGTCGATCACTCTTCAACAACTTCAACTATTGTGGTTGGTCAAGTATGGATTTTTCAGAGTGGAGCATCACATCATGTTAGATTTCACACCTCGCTTCTCCCACACATAGTTGTTTGTGTACTGGTGATTCTGATACCAAATCGTTCAACTTGGAAATGGTTCTACAACTTCCCATACCAAATCGTCGGTGATCTCATTCTTTATAATGTTTTTTGTGTCTCTGGTCTCAACATTAAGAATATTGTTCTGTTGCCTAACTATGTAAGGCAACAATCTCTATAAAATATTTTCTACTCATTTTCTTGTTAATGGTTGAAAATGGGGATGTCGCTCATGTGCAGGGAGAAATATCATGGTGTCTATTTCGCACCTTCCTCTGTCAGCCACGAGTATTTATCACTACAAAAAAATATTGAATTTGTCACGGATATTAGTTAAGGGATATCGGTCAAGCAAGGTTCGTCGCGGGAAAATCCCTAACAAAATTTCTCATGGATTATTCCGTGACAAAATCCTGGCGATTCTCGAAATGACCATCGACAGGGTGCATTTTGGCCGGTCGAAAATTCTAATTAGTTTTTTTTAACGAAACTAACTTAACTTATCATAACAGAACAAAAGCAGGTTACAAAGTGACAACTAGTCATCTGTCTACCGTCTTCCCTAGAACCAAACTTTAAATTAATCACCTCCGCTATGGGCTTACGTGAGCCAATGACTTGCAGACTAGACTCATCATTCACTGTTCTAAGTTCTAAAGTCTTTTTGCTGGAAAAATACAGCACAACCAAAACAAAGTATGAATCCAAAACATGAAGAATGAAAAACAAAGAGCAAGTAAAATAAAAGAGTCTCTCAGCTAACATAGCTGCCCACAATCTCAGAAGCTCTGGCAGGTCTGGGTCCCCGCACCCGCCCCTGTCCCGTTTTTGGGATGTCAAGGGCCATAGTTTTCCCCACTTTGCCCCTCTCATCATGCACCTCCCAAGTAAGCCTTCTCTTGGATTCGCTTGGTCCCTCTTCCGTCTTTGTAGGAGCCACTGCCCAGCTCTGGTTGCTATCCCTTACCTCATCTGGATCATGATCCAAAGTTGACACATCCCTGCAGGCCTTATAGATGCCGCTCGTTGAGATGTTTCCTGCTAACCCCAGCCACTTGCTACCCATAGATGGCCTCCTTTTCCTGCCCCCCGCCCGTAGCCACGGGCCATATGACCTGGTTACTCCCTTTCCACCTTTCTCATACCGTAAAGGGCAAAGCTTCTCGACATGGCCAATAATTCCACATACGAAGCAAACATTTGGGAGCTTCTCATATTTGAAGTCTACCCAATGTCTTCCCCCTTTGCTCCTCCTAATAGTGGTTCCAACTTTCAGGGGTTTACCTACATTCATACGAAATCTAACCCTCATGTAAGCTCCCCATTTTCCATCGAATTGATCTTCATCCCACTTGACAAACTCTCCCAAACAATTCCCAATTTTTCTAGCGGTTCCCAGATTTGCATAACTACACGACGCATTATGTACCTGAACTCAGAGCTCAACTGAGTCTAAAGGGACCCTAAGTAGGATATTGATAAGTCCGTATTTTGACACGTATTTGATGCGTGTTGAGATTGGCTTTTGATGATTTTCCTAGTTTTAAGGTGTTACAAGTCTCAATTTTAGCTCAAGTTATGTTTACCGGCGTTGGTTCGAGTTTTGTGTTGTTTGTAGTCTAAATCAGAGAATTTAAGCCCGGCACCGGCACTTGAGGAACAATCGGGATGATTTGAGAAGCATTTGAGAATGATTTGATAGATTTGGAGGCCACCGGAAGATTCACGATGAAGATTTGAAGGAAAAAGAGCTCTAGGACTGGCTTCGGGATCAAAAGAAGATGAATGAAGCTTGAAAACGACGATCAGGATGACCTTCTGTCAATCTTTCAAGCATATCTCTTTGTAGAAACAACCAATGGACACGATTCAAGTTTCATATGAAAGCTAACTTCAAGGGATACAAATCATATGAAGACACCTTTGCGAGAATCTGAGAGGAAGAAGGTGAAAACAGACGATGAAGTCAGATGATCTCTGCTGCGATTTCAGAAAGACACCTTCCACTGTTTTGATCATATCTCTTGATTGGATAATTCAAATCACATTCAGCAAATTGGGGTGGATAGAGGACTTCATTATCTACAGCTTTCATGAAGAACGTTTTGTCAAATTCGGAAGTTAAGTAGGCACGATTGTGCCCTCAAAGTCAGACACGATCGTGCCTGAAGAGAAAAGCACCGCGAAGTTACTGCCTGCCAGGCACGCTCGTGCCTGGAGGGAGGCACGATCGTGCCTGCCCAAAATGCGCGTTTTTGCTCCGGAGGCACGATCGAAGGCACGATCGTGCCTGGCATCGTGTCTGGCTCCGAAAATCCTAATTCAACTCAAATTTCACCCGATTTTTCTATTTAAACAGCCTGTAAACCCCCGTTTTCAAGGGGGAAGCTTAGAGAGAGTGCCTAGCACTAATTTTAGAGGGCTTTTCAGCCTTGTTCATCAATCTTTTGGCATTCTTTGTAAGTTCCACCTTTTTAATTAATGACAATTAATTCTATTTTTCCCAATTCTATTGATTCTTCAATTATGAATTGTGAGTAGTTTAATTAGGGATTGGGATTGATGAAGGGGTTGATCATGATGTATGGCTAGTTTCTTGATGGATTAATTGCATGAATGCCGTTTAATTTGTGTTTGAATAATTTAAGTGATATCTTTTGTAACCTAGAATCGCGACTAGAATTACAATTGCATGTAGAATAAATTAAGAGAGATCTAATTTGTTCTAGGACACATTCACACACACTTAATCGTTCGCTAAGAGATTAGTAGCGATTAAGGGGCCGTAAGCTCGCTCGTCTTGGCAATAATTTAGGATCCTGTCGCATGAGAGATCAGCCTGGTCCCCTAAATTATTGTACTCTACGCCGCGAGAGCGGTAAGAACTTAATAATGATTAGCTATGCTCAATTAAATTAATTTCATGTAATTAGGCCTGATCTGCCAGAAATCTGGTTACCCCGGAATTGATCCTTGTTCCCTTCGTCATTAATTACAAAGAACCCCCTAGTTTAATTGTTCGCATTAGTTTTATTTTCCAAACCAACCAATCTCGCATGACGCTTTTATTTTATTTTCTTTTTTTATCGCTGAATTTAATTAATTCTTGATTCCCTTTTGTCCGTCCCTGTGGAGACGATACTCGTACTTACACCACTATATTACGATCTATTTTAAGTGCGAGAAAACACACATCAGATATCTCCCGACTTAATGGCCTTTAGAACAAGCAGATTCTGGTCAAACAGCCAAGGACCATTGTCCATAACACGATTCATATCATTCAAGTGAAAGAATTTGAATAGATACATCTTTTCTCCAATCTCCTTTATCGAGACACCCTTTTCTAGACGCCACAGTGCTGCCATAAGATCCCTGAAAATCTGAAAACGAATCACTTTGTTTGTAAGAATCATACCTACAACCGGGAACTCCTCCGGTCGCTTAACTCCCACAGCCGCAGATCCATCCTCATCGTCATCAATCACCAAAACATCTGAAGCTTCGCCGATCCTTCTGTCACCGTACTTCCCGGCCAAGCTGCCAATCGGTCCAACCTTCCCACTATGTTGTTCGCGTAGAACCCTCCGCACAAACTGCTCGTTGCCGTCCATGAGTTTCACACCAAAATTGTGCCTCACTGCCTGACTCCTACTAGCCCACTTCGAATCTGGTCGTCGCCCCTAAGGTCAGCCGAGAAGAAGCAGCTACAGATCTACCGCCACACAAATAGTCGACAAAAGTTCTGAACCCTAAGATAGGGAAAGGTGATACATGTTGGGCCTGCCGCGGGTCTGCGGTCAGCAATCTGCCAGCCTGCCGGTGCAATCGGACCGCGTGGCGCTTTGCCTGTTCTATAAAAGGGGGAAGGGCGTGCTACACTATCAGCGATTGCTTTTAGTGTAGCGGTAAGCGCAACGATCCACAATTGGTATCAGAGCCAAAGGTCACGGGTTCGACCCCCGGCAACAGCATGCTGCTCAGTTGTAGGCTGGCAGGTGCTGGGGGGGAGATTGTTGGGCCTGCCGCGGGTCTGCGGTCAGCAATCTGCCAGCCTGCCGGTGCAATCGGACCGCGTGGCGCTTTGCCTGTTCTATAAAAGGGGGAAGGGCGTGCTACACTATCAGCGATTGCTTTTAGTGTAGCGGTAAGCGCAACGATCCACAATACACTTGTAATTTCCACTTTTATGTGTGTGTTTTTAGTTAGTTTTTGTTGTTTGATATTTTGGAAATTACACACTTTTGGTGTAATAGTTATGTTTTTGTAATATTTGTAATTTGTTTAGATTAGTTCCATTCTGAGCTCAAACAGGTCCAAAATCAATTTAATGATCATTGGTGAAGGAAGGTGCAAGAGTACAAGACAAAAAGAAGAAAAATTCCTAATTTTGACCTGTACCTGGTCGAGTATAACCCCTTACTCAATCGGGTACCAATTGGATTCTCAATTGGATTCTTAATGATGTGGCCTGTTTCTC